ATGGCTAGCTAAGCAGGAGGGCAGCTCACAAAACCCAGCAGCACTGGGACAAACCCATCGATTTGGTTTCCCCTGCCCTGGCTTTTAGTTTTGCCCAAACAGCAGCATCAGATCTGGTAAGTTCAGGACACGTGCATTCACTTGCACACTGGAGTTTGTGTGTGGAAGGAATAAAGCCAGTTATGCTGCAAAGGAACTATGTACAGAAACTTCATTTGCACCAGGCATTTCGATTACTTGTTGCACTAAAACTAGTATTTACCAAGTGCCACGAAACACCCGGGCCTGATTCTCCTCCCGCTGATGGGTGTATCTCCACTGTTGGAAGAGAGTCACTCCTGCCTTGCTGGGGTGCTCAGTGAGATCAGATCCGGAGCCTCCCTGGACCCCCGGCTCCTCCTGGAAGCCACACCGAGGACTGTCCCTGCTGGGAGCGAGCAGGAGTCCCGCCGGGCTGCCACAGTGTGGCGCAGAGCTGTGCCCTGCTCCGGGGTGCTGAGCAGGGGTGACCGCAGGGCAGAGGTGGGGGGACAGCCCCCGCAGGGGCTGGGCAGGCTGACCACGGGGCCCTGGCACTGCCCTTCATTTGCACCTTGAAAACGAGACCTCTGCTGCTTGCTGTTGAGAGCCAGGTTTGCAAAATGGGGAAGCAGCCTTCATCTTTACTTCAGAATTACCAGAAAGCAATTAATTCCCAGGGTGAGCACTGCTCTGCACAGACACGTGTGCTTTCTCGTGGAAATTACCGAGTCATACAAATTCGCAAATCCTGGTAGAAGCTGCAGAATAAACCCCTATCCCAGCTGGATCCGCCAGCAGCGTGGTGAGAGCTGGATGCTGGAGCTGGTGGCGAGCAGGCTGTGAGCGGCTGCAGCGCTTCCGTCACCACTGCCCAGAGAAAAACAGGAGAGGGAACACGGGGAAAGGCAGAGCTGCTGATGCTGAGGTGTTCCCTTTGCGTGGGTGATTTCTAAGGGCGCTCAAATACTGGGTGCCGCTTGCTTTGTTTGAAGGTGAGGAGTGGCGTGAGTCCCCGTCCCTTCTGGGTGGCGGGTCCCTGGCAGTGGAGTGGCAACAGGGATGAGGTGTGAGATTGCTGTGGGAGGACCGAGACTTAGTTTTGCTTAAGGTGGCAAGAAATCCCGACTGATGCAGCTAACCAGACGAAATCACGGTTACGCTGGGTAACAAGCTGAACCCCTCTTGAGTTTCCTGGGCTGTCGTGTGGTTCATCACACCCTGAAGTGGTGCTGGGGCCTTGAACTGGATGAAAAAAAGAGCTGGAGCCGTTTAGCTCCCCCAAGGGTGCTGAGCTGAGCCTGCCGGTGGTGGTGTCAGGACTGGTGTCCCCGGGGAGACGCCCTCCCAGCTGGTGGCATGTCACAACCTGACGGGCTGGCGGCTGCGTATGGCCACAGCGTGACGGCCATCAGCGTGGCACTGTGCGTTGTCCCCACAGCCAAAGCATGGACTCTCAGCCCCCATCCACGGCTTATTCAGAAGCAGTTTTTCTCCGAGCAAGGTCTCCTTGAGCTTGACAGAGCCCCTGAGAGCCCC